TTTAGCGCGGACCCGACGTCCATATAATTGTAAGTCAATGGTAAATATGAAGGAAATGTGATGTGCCATCAACCTGCAAAATTTTTATATACAATCAATTTTTTGCATTTCAGTAACTTTGTGCTTTAAGATAAGAGTTTGAGGAAGTAAAGCGACGAAATATGAAAAAAAACCGATTTATTTCATACGCTTTTAATAGACTTCAAAAAAGAAGGTTTTCTACGGCGCTGCAGACGCGCTGTAGTCACTCGATCCAAATGAGCAAGAAGCTTATATACCTCACTAGAGTTTACACATAGAATTTTATGTAGTTGGCGTCATTTCAAAATGTAACTAAAACTAACAAACAAAACTAATATTAAAACTATCTTTTCTCAAAATGTACCATACATTCGCGCGGCTACAGCGCGTTTGTGGCGCGTATACACGTAGATGACACGCGATTACTGCGTGAATTACCCCACTCAATGTTAATAAAAATATATAACCATCTCCCGAACAGCATAAAATGTACTCAGGATTCCAAGGCTTTTGAAAGACAATTAAAAACTCTCTTAATTGATAGGAGTTATTACAATATAACAGAATACTTTAATTATACTTTTGATGACCTTTTTTAAATAATTTAATATGAAATAATAATAGAAAATTATAATTGTATGTTTCTGTGTATAAATGTATAAATTATTTCAATAAGTATTTAGTTTTAAAATTATATCAATTAGTATAGAGTTGAAACATAATGTGTAAATTATATAGTCCTACTAGACACCATTTTGTATGCGTGGTATCAATTAGGAAATAGTACTGTGTAATAATTTTTATCTTATTTTTAAAATGTGTATAGCGCCACTCTCTTTGCAAACACCCTTACAGGGTCACATGTACTGTAATTTTAATATTATTAACATGTGACTATGCAATAAACGATTACTGATTACTGATTACTGAGTTCACGCGTCGTCTGCACGTATAAAATACTCCCTAACAAAAATGGAAGTCAGTTAATTTCCTACTCTATAATATAGCATATTAATAACACAAGCGCAACTACTTTATTTATTTAATTAATTTTATGCAGAGGGAGGGTGGCATAATTAACTGCATGGAAAAATATTCAACACAAGCGCAGCTATTTTGCACGATTTAACCTTCACTGGGTTCGCGGAGTAGCAAATTAATTTACTTCCATTTTTATTAACATGGACTTCCGCAAAGTAACGCCCGAGTTTATTAATTACCCATAGCCTCTAAATAAAAACCTTCTATATTTAGGAAATGCAACTATTTTTTCGGATTTAAATCGCGTATATTTGTTTTTCAAACAAACCAACGTTTCGGATCCTTTACAGGTCCCATGGCCAACCGTGACCATGGGAACATGGTTTAAATCCGGAAAAAAATAGTTTCATTTCCTATGTGTAACGATCGTGAAAACCTAAGAACTCGACCTTCTATGTTATAAAAAGAAATTGACTTACCTGACTCCAGTTTCTGTATAAGTAAAACTTGTTGCTGCAGTTGCTTTTCGAGTAGTGCTTGAGCGCGTTTATGCATCTCCATAACCTGTTTGCTCTTCTCAACTGGTTTGGGTGTCTCCTTCTTTGGTTCTTGGCCGTTGGGGGTTTCTTTTAACTGCATTTTACATACATATATTTACATTAACATTTACGTAATTTATTTTAGTTTATTTATTATTATTACTCAGCTTTAGGTTCCACTGAAAACCAGCGTCACTGCCTAGTCAAATATCAGCCTAGAAAAATTCCCAAAAATGTGGAAAAATTGGAAAAATATAATTTGAAAGGTTCATATTATGTTCTACTAAAATATGAAAAATATACATAATTTCATTAAGAAAGAAGATATTCATAATATTAACCTTAGAACTAAGTCCAAACTCATGGTACCACGATTTCGTTTAACTAAGGTAAACGATTATTTTATGAGGAACTGTATACGTTTTTACAATACGATTCCGGAGTATATATTAAGATTATCATGTCCTAAGTTTAAAACTTACATTGAAAGTATTTTAATTGAAAAGTCATATTACAAAATTAAATAGTATGTTTTAGATAAAGAAGTATGGAAAGACAACAAGAGTCTATAGTCCGTTTTTATTGAAGATGGAAAAATTTGACATTTGCAGGGTTGCCAGTTTTCGTAAAATTTTAAATAGTCATGTAGCTATTGTCGATAGATTTATCGATAGGTTGGAAAGATGATAATAGTTTCCAAAAAATGTATGAATTGTGAGACTTATAACATTCTAATGATTAGTAATTACGTTATCGCCGTCTTTACTCTTATTTTGACGTTTGGCCCGCGAGTATCAAAATCAATTCGTAAAGTATCTACAGACGCACGTTCAAATTATTGCCCTATTGTAGACTATGTACAATACCACCTGAACTCGTTTTTATTCATATACATTTTTAATAATGATAGTTGGATTTGATTATCTATACTGAATTAAAATGAAAAACCACAAAATTTCCCTTTTTGATTTTTAATAGATGTGATGAACTTACAAAAGTTAACAATTCAAATGTACTTATAAATTTTACAATTCAAATGTACTTATAAAATCTACAATTCAAACGTTGACTTAAAATTAAATATGTATAATGCACACTGGGCGGATTCACAAATTACGAAACAAATGTTACGTGTATACGTGTTTCATATACATTTTTTTTAATTCGAAATTAAATTAGTCCTCTTCTGTGTTAGACGAGGTAATGGTATCGTCGGAATCCGATACATGTATAATAAATGTATCACATACGTCGTCAATTAAATGGTCGAGTTGGCGCATTTTCGTTTCGACATCGTTGATAACGTGGTCTACACAATTTTTCCACTTTTGTGGCGTTACATTAGTTATCCCTTCTCCAAGCAATATTTTAACTTCATTCATTTTAAAAGTTTTGTAATTTCTTGCGACGTGCCCCTTTACCTGTGCCCAAACTAACTCCGAAAAACCCGAGTGCTGGCCCATCTCTGGTGCGAATTACGCAATTTGACTGTAATGATAGCTTTAATTGACAAACACGTCGTACGCCAAGATTTCTGCACCTAAACAACTACAGCAAGTTATTTAAATAATCTACCAAAGTGAATATTGATTTGCGAATGATTACCTTGGCAATAGTTGGACCTTCGTTTCGGAAAAAGAATTGATGAACCTTGCGTCTTATGGCCTCCAAATGGAATTCATCGAATTTTTCTATGTAGCTTTTTCGCCTGCCTTTCGGTTTAGGGGGCTGAAAGTTCATATTTTCGCATTTTTCTTTTAGAACTCTATAAACAGTTGATTTTGAAATGCCCAGAATGTCAGCCGTTTTTTTAGCACATTCTGTTTTACTAGCAGCTTCTAAAAGTTTTGGATCGCAACCCTTGTTTTCTTCCTGAACAATGTATTTATATACATTCTCCGTCATCATCTTCTCAGTAGTACTGAGAGCAATACGTTGTCTTTTCTTTCGAGGCGATAAAATGCCCGAAGAAGTAGATGGTCCTGGGTTGTCCATATTGAGATGCAATACGCAACAAATACAGTAACAAAAAAAAACTTAACAAAAACTTAACACGATAACAGAAAACAATAACGTGAACTAACAAAAGAAACGTAATAAGCGCGAGCGCAAGTGAGCACATCCGAACAAGCCTCAGAATGGTAGTCGAATGCGGCAAATTCAGCCGGCCCGCTGTGCCCGTGCGGCATTTTATTTATTTGTTTAAATTTTAGTAGCTACTTTTGTCTATAATAAGTAATATAATAACGACTCGCATATACCAATTACCAGCATAAGTAAAGGTGACGTATATTTTTATTATACAGTTTTTTACGTTTTTCAATGTTAATTTATAATAAAAAAAATAAAAGCAATAGTAGCCCAGCAGTGGCACGAATAATGGGCCGATGATGATTCAAATTTAACAAGTTCGGACAATCATTGCGTAAGCGTAACCAATATTCAGTCGATAATTCATTCATTCATTCATTCATATTTATCGACTGCAATCACTAGCTACTTGAGAACGGGCAACACTTTTGCGCAACGAATTGTCAAATTTTTCCATCTTCACTAAAAACGGACTTTAAATTCCACACAAATATGATTCAAAATATATTCTATAACTTTTAAGTTTATTTGAAAAGAACAATCCCTAGAGTTTCTTGCTCGTTCTTCTCTGGGAGGTCAGCGTAGTGAACGAGAAGTAGCTTAAAAATGACGTCAAGTGTAAAAATTTTACCTACGAATAATGATTATTTGACTTGACTTTGACCACTAGAAATATTTTTTGAAATTTCATTTAGCGTGAATTGTAAAATAAAGTTAGCTATACAAACGTCACTTAAGAGAAAAACGAGATTTAAAATGATTTGACACTAGCGAAAAAACCTCCAACAACCACGCCACTACAACTTGTTGTTGGCTCCATCGTTTTCGTTCAGTAATTTCAACTTTTGACAAATGTCAACGTCAAATATGGAAAATTAAAGCAAATATATTGGAAAAACATCCGGAAAAATACTTATTTTCTGGGAAAATGGAATGGATTTTTCCATGACCCAATACTAGTCGTAACCGACTGAAGCCTTTGAATCGATTTTTATGAGATCAATTCAAGAGCGTGTAATCCGATCTGTGGATCAATTCAGAGGCATATGATCGATTCAAAGCAAAAAATCGTGCATTCCTATTACCCAACGTACCTTATCGGCTTGCTGTTGTTTGATGTCTGCAGTTGCCTTGATGTTGTCTCTATTGATCAACACTTTGTTGTGTGACATTGGATGCTGGTTGTTTTGTCTATCAGCGGGCTTGTTTTGTTGGCCGGAAGGCGCCACGTTTTCTTGTTTATTCTGTAATAAATATTTTTAAATATATTACTTTTAAAGACAAGATGGAACATTGTAGAACACGAAAGAAGCCTCCCCACACGACGTACCATTCCTTTCTAGTACGTCTGGTACACCCTGACGCATTGAGTATATAAGCAGAAATAGAGACGAAATAAGGGCCACCATCCCTGGCAACTCATCAGGAAAATGGGACTTATATAACTTTTAAATATCAATTCTAGTTTGGGCAGAAATCACAAATTAGAAGGTTGAAATAGTACAGCGCCAACAACTGACCTTGTGTACTTCTCCGTATATTCCAAAAATATTCTGTATTTGTTGTAATAAAGATAATATCTCTAACTATGGGGGGCTGTTTCATTTGGTGGTGTGGGAATAACAGAAAATATCTAATTACAAAACAAACGAATCACTTTTCAACGGTAATTAAATATGTAATTTTTCTATTTTCGTCCATTATAGCAAAGGTCAAGTTAAACTGGTCGATTTCAAATGAAACAATTGAGGGTCAATTGTTTCGAATTCGGGCTGGCCAATCGGAGCGCAGTTGTTGTCACCGTAACGATTTGACGAAATAGTTTTCAGACAAACTAAATGACGTTTCGTCTCTATTTCTGGTTATATACTCGATGCGCTGACGCATCAATCGGCAAGTACATTACGCCGAATCATTTCACTACGATGGCAAGCATTATAGTGCATGCCATATAACAAATAAAATTAGACTTATGATTTAGGTCCTATAGTCTGTCTTTTTAGAAGACAGAGTAAAATTGAAGATGGGGGAAAATGACATTTACAGGGTTGCCAGTTTTCGTAAAATTTAAAATAGTCATGTAGTTCTTGTCGACAATTTCAACTATAGATTGTGAAAGAAGGTAAAATTTTGTCAAAAATGTTGTTACTAAAATGTGTATAACTAAAAATTGAATTTCATACTCTAGATTACCAATAATCTAAATAAAAAAATCTAAATAAGAATAAAGAATACAATAACGAAATTAGTAATCATTAGAACGCCGCCGTCGTAACATGAGCAGCAGTAGATCTCCTTGTGAAAGAGTTCGTCCAGGGAAGTACTGCCACCTTACCTATTTCTGCCGCCAAGCAGTAATGTGAGCATTACTGCGGCCTGGTTTGAAAGGGTAAGGGTGCTGGTAAAATTACGGGCACATGGGACTTGTCAACTTATGTCTCAGGGTGACGGGCGCAGTGGCAGTGCCTCTCAGATCTTTGCAATTTAAAGCTTTGAGTGGCACTGCAACTATTATGGACAAACGTGTAGCTTACCATCAGGCGCACGACTTGTTTGTCCCGTCACTTGATATTATAAAATAAAAATGAAAAATACCAAAAATAATTTTGGTATAAAAATTTGGTTCAACGGTTTAGGCGTGAAAACTTAACAGACACGAGTTACTTTCGCAGTCCTAATATTAGATTGCATATATATATTCATTTTGGAATTTTTGAAATCTTGTTTCTAGCTGATATAGCACATGTGTTTAAAAGAACTTACATCAGGATTATGCCAGAAGACCTTAATAAATCTATTGTTTAGCACTGCTTCTGTACTCTTGTAGGCGACATTGGCTTCGGTGGGCGAAGAGAAGGTTATTAGTGCTGCTTCTGGATCACCTTCGTAGCAGACCTGTTGGCGAAATAACGATAATTAATAACACCGGGAACTTGTGAAGACACCAAATTTCATAAAAAAAGAAGGGTTTTACTTCAAAAGATATTTTAAAAAACCTGGGAACCCAATAGAAAGAAACTTATACAGGGTTATTTCGTTAATGTTTTGTAGAAAGAGCGAACGCACCATTTCGAAAAAGCTTTCAAGAGAAAATGTTTCAGTTGTTCCGCTCTGAAAGGCCAGCCAGTGTATTAGAACTTGAGCTTTGCCATAATAGACGTAAATTGAAAAATATGTATATTTAATTACCGATGAAGTGTAATTCCGTTTGATTTGTAATTAGATGTTTTGCTGTTTTCCCACACCACCGAATGGAACAGCCCCCCACAGTTAGAAATATTATATTTATTACAATAAATACAGAATATTTTTGGAATATACGGAGACATACACCGCAGGTCGGTTGTTGGCGCTGTACTATTTCAGCCTTCTAATTTGTGATTTCAGCGCAAACGAGAGTTGATATTTAAAAGTGATATAAGTCCCATTTGCCTGATGAGTTGCCAGGGATGGATGGCCCTTACTTCGTCACTATTTCTGGTTATATGCAACATCAGGTGGAGTGGAGTCATTTGCCTGTCATGTATAAAAAAAAAAATAAAAAAATATGCTCGATGTATATAATGTACCATTTGGCGTCCGGCCTGCACCAAGTGGAAAATCGGACCAAAGACATCCGAAACAAGAAAAGAAGTTCTACTGTAGAAAACTTATGTTCCACCAACCTGTATATTCACAATCTTGCCGAACTTGCTAAAATGGTTGTTGAGATGCGTGATGTCGTTGAGGCCGCGAGGCACCTTCTTCACCTCCAGCGAGCAGTTCGCCGCACTGGGGGGTAGGGGAGGAGGGCGCGCGGCACCTGGTGCACAATATTACAGTTAAATTTGTATTGAATTGTCCGCCGGATTCTAACCGACGTCTTCTAGTATACCGTGCCAGACGCTATACCAACTAAGCCACGGAACGAACCAGCGGACCTTACGAATTTTTCTATGTGCTTGTTTGTCGGATCTTCGTCGTTGATTTTCAACGACTTTTTAGCCGTAGCGTATCTGTGAGAAATTATTTCTTGCATAGTTGGTATAGCGTTCGGCACGGTTTGCTAGACGTTGGTTCGAATCCGGATACAAGTATTTTTTTATAATTATTCCATTTTTGTATTAATAATTATAACAAACTAATGGAGTACTTTCACAAAAAATAATTTAACATCACGGTGATTAAACATTCACACATTCCATAAAACTTAAGTACAAACGCCGTAAATTATATACAGACCCAATTGTGTTTATTACGTATTAGTTATAGGATTTTAACAGTAATAGAAATCTAATCGAAACGATACTGCTGGCGTTTTATTTACAGCTGAATATAATTTTTTATCCTGGCCTCTCCAGCCGCTGTCCTGTTCTATGGCCGCTATTGCGCCAGTTTTCAGGTATAATGAAATAAAGTTTCTGATAGTTTGCCATGCAAATAGATGTACTTACCCAATCGGTTGTAGTCGAAGTTCTTCTTCGGCGGCGGCGGGTGTCGCGGCGGCAGGGCCATCAGTGGGCCTCCCGCAGGGGGCACGTCGTGGCGGACTCTACAACATTCGTGTTTCTATTAGTATAACGTAAAATGCCTCTATAAACAGACGACACTCACAAACAGCAGTAGAGCTCCTTGTGAAAGAGTTCGTCCAGAGAAGTACTGCCACCTTACCTACTTCAGCCGCCAAGCAATAATGTTAGCATTACTACGTTCCGGTTTAGAATGGTAAGTGTGTGGCAGTGGCAGTGCCCCTCAGAACCTTGCTATTTAAAACTCTGAGTGGCACTGCAAATGTTATGGACAAGCGTGTAGCTTACCATCGACGACTTGCTCGTGCCGTCACTTGATATTATATTTAAAAAAAAGAAACACCTAGAAGACATTTTATGAATTGGATTCAAATTTTTCGTCGTTTTATGACTTGGATTCAAATTTTTCATCATGTTTTGACTTGGATGCAAATTGATTTTTACTTTACGACCGGGATTAAATTTTGTTCGACATTTTTCGAATTGGATTCAATTTTTTTTTGTGAATATTCGAAATGATTCCAATTTGTTGGATTTTTTATTAATTGGATTGCAAACACTACGTGCAAGACGACATTACCTGGGAATGGGGATGAGCTCCCTCGGCGGGTGCGGCTGGTGCGGGTGGTGTGGGTGCGGGTGCGGGTGCGCGAACGGCGGGAACGGCGCTGGGCCGCACCAGATGTCCGGCGCCAGCGGATTGTACTCTATAATTGGAATTACTTACAAGTAATCATCATTAAATTCTGATTTTTTTAAATATACAACAGACACACCTTTGGCCACAATCTCATCTGATGTTAAGCGACGATGTGACCGACGATGGCACGCGTTTGCCAAAAAAAATGCGTATGCACTCTAGCCTTAAATAGTTCCTGCGCACACTCCCCGAAATGTATCCGATAGAAAACCGACAAGCAGGCTACTTTTCTGCGATGGTCGAGATTTTGTAGCTTCGACTCCACAAGATAATTGTTGTTAATAAGTTTCTTTGCTTTTCGCTCCACCGAGTCTAAGGCAGCCAACTGGTAATGGGCAGAGCCGTCCCAAAGATGACAGCAGTACTCCATACACGATCGAACTTGTGCTTTAAACGGATTTAAAAACTGTTCAGGTGTGAAGTACCGCCTGACCTTGTAAAGTATGCCTAGTTTTCTGGCAGCAGTTTTTGCTTTGCTGCGATGGTCGAGATTTTATAGCTTCGACTCCACAACGATTTGAAACTTATCTCCGAACATCAGGCGAGTGTTACGTCGTTGTTGTGTCGTTAGATTTTCGGGCATTTTATTATATATAAGTAAATAAGAGCGCATTTGACCACCATCTCCCATGATGGAAAGCGACGATGAGGTCGACAGTGTAGTATGCACACCTAAATAATGTCTATTCACTCTCGCCTTGAAAAGGTCCAAGTTATAGCGTTCGGGAAACAAGTCTACAGGCAGGGAATTCCACTCCTTTGCCATTCGCCATATAAATGTGGACGGCAAACGCTTGGTGCGACTAACATCGACGAGATTACCCCGAAGGAAAATGTATGGTATGGCGTAAGTCATCTGCAGGACGGCGTAAAGCTATCGCTATTTAAAGCTTACTGCCCATCGAGTATATAACCAGAAATAGACGAAAAAAAAAATTAAAAAAAAAACTTTTATTACCCATACGCTACGTATTTTTAGTTAATAAACCAGATGCTATATAAATGACAGAAACGATTTTTTTCTTCATCGTGTAAACTTGTCTAAATTGAGATAGTACCGGTTGCCAGTTAACAGTTGATATATTATTGTACACGACGCTTAGACAGCTGAGAGCTTTCCGTGTGTAGTTGATCTATAGGCTACAGGCGTAAAGGTCTGGCAGTAACATCCGAGTTTATAACCACAAATAGAGACGAAATAAGGGCCATATATTCGTGGTAACTCATCAGTGATACATCACTTATAAATAGCAACTCTCGTTTGCACTGAAATAAAGACAGGCCAACAACTGACCTGTGTGTACTTCTCCATATATTCCAAAAATATTCTGTATTTATTGTAATAAAGACAATATCTCTAACAATGGATTGCTGTTCCATTCGGTGTTGTGGGGAAAAACAGCAAAACATCTAATTACATAATCTCAGTACAGAGTACTAAAAAAACCGACCTCAAAAGTACGTGGAATTACGTCTATTTGCTTAGTTTTATTGAAATATCCTTTAGTTCGCCACTATACAGGACTTGACACTGGAATAATAAAAATAGGTTCTCACTATGACACTACTTAAAGTATATCGAGAGAAAAACGCTTTGAATTGGAGAAATAGCAAAATCAACTAAATAATTGCTAAAAGTAATTGCTCCTAAATTAAAGTTAGGCGCTATTTATAAAAATGAATCTTCATGCGTGAACAGCCATCATTTGAGGTGGATGATTTTCTTCAAAACAAAAAGACACAACTACACGTACTTTTGAAGTCGGTTTTTTTAGTAAACCGGACTGAAAATACCGGAGTTATCGCGTTACATAAAAAAAAAAGAAAAAAAAAAAGAAAAAAGAAAAGAACATACAGACGAATTGAGAACCTCCTCCTTTTTTGAAGTCGGTTAAAAACAAACAATCAAATTTCATTGGTAATTAAATATTAAATATGTAATTTTGCAATTTCAGTCCATCATAGCAAAGCTCAAGTTAACTGGTCGATTGAAGTGAAACAATTGACGACACCCGTCAGTTGTTTGGAATTCGGGCTGGCCAATCGGAGCGCAGTTGTCACAGTAATGATATGGCAGAACAGTTTTCAAACAAATGAAATGACATTTCGTGTCTATTTCTGGTTATATACTCGACGGGCAGTAAGCTTTTACAGTCGGTATTCAGGATGCTGTTGTCCACAGACGCTCATGTAGATGGATTTGCCGGCATCATGAGAAAGAGAGCGGCACCTTTGATGCGCAGAATGCGTGGCAGCGGTAACGGCATCGTTAGTATTATTGCTGGCAGGGTCCATGGTTCATTTGTTGAACACTGGACCAAACTTCATGCATACACGAAACCCAGTACATATTTATAAGTTGTAATTACTAACATTAGTAAGTTTTTTTCTCTTTGTTATACTAACCAATATGGATGAATAATCCGAAATAAAGTACTTGAATTTGACTTAAAACCGTACCAACGATGGGTATAATACCTACCAGGTACTGGTGGTGGAATAGTAAGAACCCTTGTAAGGGCGTCGTCTTCTAACACAACCGGGTCAGTACCATGGTCCCACTGGCAGAGGTCGCCACGCATACAGTAACCTTTCTCTGTAACAAAAAGAAATTTCTTTTTTCATCTTGAAACAATCATACTTTTCCTGTAGTCGTCTTTTTAAGACAGAAAGTTTACAATTCATGTTATTCAAATGAATATTGTTGGAAAAAGCGATGAGATATCAACATGAGACATTTAGTAGCAGTAGAGCATCTTGTGAAAGAGTTCGTCCAGGGAAGTACTGCCACCTTATCTATTTCTGCCGCCAAGCAGTAATGTTAGCATTATTGTGTTCCGGTTCTGAAGGGTAAAGGTGCTGGTGGTGATGATTACAGGCACATGGGACTTGCCAACTTATGTCTCAGGGTGACGAACGCAGTGCCAGTGCGCCTCATATATCACTTGATATTAAAATAAAAAAAAAAGACAGTCTTTGAAATACATGTGAAAGTGTTACTTATTCCATTTAATGAGCGATAGCTTTAGAAATTCAACCAAACCGTTTTCGTTACATTTCGTTTAAAATGGATTAGAACAGATTATTGATAGATTTGCTGTACTCACCATCAAAATCGCGACATCTTCGTTTGTTATAGCTATCGTTATGTTCAGGTCTCGAGTCGTTATGCGGAGACAAAGATCTGTCCCGGGACCTATCGCGTGATCTGTAACAGGACAAACAATATTTTTAGTAGTCGAGACTATTCTATGAATCATGAAAGTTATTGGCACTAATAAGGGCCCTTGTAGAACTCTTGAGGATTTTTTTATAATCCATATTGTTAACTTCAAAATTTTACACGCGCTGAAACGCCTTGAACGATAACATCTATCGTTCCTGCTTATAACTAAATTGTTTTCCCAAAACAAAAAAATGCGATAATTCTGAAATTCGTACAATGAAGTATATTTATTTATCGTCAAAGTTTATTTCCTATACAATTAGAAAGAGACTAAATATAGTATGTCCTTGTAACATAGTTACTAATAATGGTACTCATGCAGTCAGGCAATGACTTGTGTGTGACCAGATACAATGACATAAACATACTTCATAGAAAAAAAAAACAAGCAATTTAGTAGTATGTGCTAGCAATTTTTTTGATTTTTACATCCCTTATAAATAAATATTGCTGTAATTTTACAACTTTGTACTGTAGCGACTTGGTTGTGTATAGTGAAAATAATGTGTATAATTTTCTAACATTGATTTATGTTAAGTGGATGGTGTCTTTCATTAAAAAAATAAATACCATACCGTTCTCTGTCCCTAGAGCGAGACAAGCGTTCCCGGTGTTCTCTATCGCGGCTCATTCTGTCTCTTTCTAACTCGCGGGGAGGGCGCAGTCTGTCCCGCTCGTGGTCTCGATCCCGAATTGGTATCGGTGATCTTGATCTGTGGGATAATTATTAAAATAACATGAATTTTGTTACGGTTAGTGTAAGCCCATCGAGTATATAACCAGAAATAGACGAAATAAGGGCCATCCATCCCTGGCAACTGTTCAGGCAAATGGGCCTTATGTCACGTTTGAATATAACCTTTTGTTTGTGCTGAAACCACAAATTAGAACGCTGAAATATGAAATATGAAATATGAAATTAGAACGCTGAAATAGTACAGCGCCAACAACTGACTTGTGTATACGTCCCCGTATATTCCAAAAATATTGTTTTTATTGTAATAAAGGTAATATCTCTAACAATGGGGGGTTGTTCCATTCATTGGTGTGGGAAAAACAGCAAAACTTCTAATTACAAAAGAAATGGAATCATATTTCAAATTTTCGTCCATTAGAGCAAAGCTCAAGTTAAACTGGTAGATTTTTGACGTTGTTTGACGACACCCGTCAATTGTTACTGGCCAATCGGAGCACAATTATCACCGTAATGATTTGGCAGAACAGTTTTGAAACAAATTAAATGACATTTCGTCTCTATTTCTGGTTATATACTCGATGCCTGCAATGAACACTACGGAAGATAATTTTTTGGTCATCTCGGCTTTTATTTTGCTTTTTGTTTCTTTAAAAAACTGAAAAACAATTGGAGGTGAAAACTCTAAAAATGATATGTCTTTGTTTGTTGACATTTATTCTACATTCTCGTGTAGATTGTGCTGTAAGATAGTTGGGATGACATCTGGTTAGCGGCGTATAGTGAAACAGGAACATTCTTGGATAGTATTTTTTAGACATGCGCCGAGTACAAGTTTTACCGAGTAACCGAGTACCGAATATTACTCGGTTTAACATTCAATTCAATTCAATTCATTACAACCGGAACGCGATGATCTCAAAAAGTCTGAAAAGTCCCATTGCTCTAGAATTAGACCGACATGTCAATGAAAGTTTAATGTCGCGAGAGCAGAGTCCTTTCCAATGGTGGGCAGGGCATAAAACAAGAACTGGCACAGTTAGCACGTATTTTTTTATGTGCACATGCTGCAAGCACTGTGTATAGCGAGCGGTTATTTTCCGAAGCGGGTAATGTGTATGAAGAAAAAATGTACAGACTATTACCTGAACGCGCAGAAAGTATTCTTACATCATAACTTCCCTTTGTTAAATTTTAAATATTAATAATGTTAACTTTCTTTTTAAATTACTAAATTGCCACAAATTGACACAATTGTCTAGAATTTGTAGTAATAAATCTCTTTTGATTATTTTATATATATTATTGTTGTTTTCATTTTATTACATCTATAGCTGTAATGCTTATTTTAACCGAGTACTCTTCTCATGAACCGAGTTATTCGGCCGAGTACGAGTAGTAAAAAAACGACCGAGTACACAGAGTAGCAAACGAGTACTCGGCGCATCTCTAGTATTTTTGCGAAAAATTGCTTCTGGTGGCGTGGACTTCCCGGAACTCATGTCCAAGATTTCTATTCGAGCCCCTACAAAGTCCCTTAGGTTTAATTCACTTTTGTGCGTACCTCTGGCCTTATGCAATATGACAATATGAATGCATATCTCTTATGTGCGAGTAATAGCTTCAATGTATTGTCCAGCATGTTGATATTGACCTTTTTAACAGTAGTGTTGCATCGGTGGAGCGTCTTAAGTAGTTTGTTATTTGGCGAGTAGGTATTTACTAAGTGTTGCGAAAATGACATTACCTATACAGTATAGTTAGTAGTTATATAGTTAGAATTTAATGCTCATTATCTTGAATGTGTCTATCGGTGAGGACCTATAATTAGCTCTCCATTTTTATTTCAGTTTTTACTCTGTAAGATAGCCATTGATCTTCCAATAAGATAAAATAATAAAAAAAGTGTCTTTATTCGTTCATGGTGCAAACAAAAGTGACTTAATAATTAAATTATAATAGAATTTATAATTAGTATTGCAAAGGGTAGCTGATTAAAAAGTTTCCACAAAACGAAAAAAAAAAAAAACGAAAATAAAATTGTTTACTTAATATATCGTCAATTCGAAACTGCTTTGTTTTGCATTGAGCTTTGACGCGAGTTTGCCGGAGGTAAAAGTTGTGCTGGGCAGCGATCCCATAAGTGATAGTCTTATCAGATTAAATTTTTTTAAATTTTAGAAAAATAAATGCCGAGTTGTGTCCTAAAATTATACATTCCATAAATTATTTGACGAACGTCAAAACGGCCATCATAGCGTGCCCGTACTTTAAAGATATCACGTTGCTTCAACACGTTACAACATCGAATTTGGCTAGAGAGTATGGATACGACAGTTTTCGTAGAAACATCATAGGAGAGACCATAGAACAGAAAGGCAGTTATTTAGATCAGATAAGGGAAAAAAATAATGTCGTGTTGTATAACAAAATCAAAGTTAGGGCACTTAACAGAGATGGTTGGTGATTACTACATCGACAGGAGCCTAGGTCTTATATAAGAAGAAAGAAGATATATACATATAGTCTGTTCCAATTCATTGTACCATAAAAGTAAACAAACAGATTATTGACCCGACCATAGACAGTTTAGTGATGACCAACAATACTGCCAACTAGAAATCGATTAATTAATTGAATGAATTGATTTGTTTAATTGAATCAGTTGAAATAACTGGGTTTTATATAATACAATGGGTTACGCCATTTCACTGCTGATTACTATAAAAAATATGTGATGATATTTCATACATGAGATTACAGTTTTTTTCTTACATAACACACAAAAGCAAATTTAAAATTTCCGAAATCTAATTTTAAATGCTCTTTCAAAATCCTCTTTCGATTGTGATAAAATTTTCGATTTTACTAATCGATTACAAAAACTATAATTGAATGAACCGAATGAGTTATTCCCGTACAGCCCTATGCAACCATACACTATTCACAAGTCTATATTTGATTACTAACCTCATTTTTGAACTAACATTTTTCAAAGAACATATCATGTTATTCAAATGAATATTGCTGGGAAAAGTGATGAGTTAAGTCGAAATCTCCAAAATATACGTGAAAGTGTTAATTATTCCATTTCTTGAGTGGTTGCTTTAGAATTTTAGCCAAACCGGTTTGTTTACCTTTCTGGATTGGAACAGACTTTAGATAGAAACTCACCGAGATCTGCTAGCTGGTCGTTCGACAAGCGCAGGCGGTGGACTCCTGTTGCGGTAGCGACCGCGCGGTGACGGTGATCTCGATACTGGTCTTCTGCGAATAAAAAATCAGCTTCATATACAAAGTTTACTCTGGCTTAACCTGCAGTAAAGCTCACTGTGAAAGAGTTCGTCCAGGGAACTGCTATCTTACCTATTTCTGCCGCCAAGTAGTAATGTGGGCATTATTGCGTTACAGTTTTGAAAGGGTAAGGGCGCTGGTGAAATTACGGGCACATGGGACTTGTCAATTAATGTTAACGTAACGGGTGTGGTTGCAGTGCCTTTCAGATGTGTCGCTCACCAACAGACGCACGACTTGTTTTCCCGTCACTTGGTATAAAAAAAAAACAAATCTTTACTGTAAAATTTACTTAGTGGTAAGCGACTTGGTTACTCAACACTTTCAGTGCCACTCAAGAGCTTTAAATCGCAACGACCTGAAGGGAATTGTCACTGCGTCCGTCACCCTGAGATAAAAGTTGATTTGTCTCAAGTAATTTCACCAGCACCCTTACCCTTCTAAACCGGAACACAGTAACGCTCACATTCTCGTTTGGCGACAGAAACAGGTAAGATGGGAATTGTTGTGACACTATCTACCGACCCGAGAGATAGGGCTTTCCGGAGAGACTATGGGCCTGCTTAGATTATTGGGACCTGGAGAGATGTCGTTTTTCGTCGTCGGGAAGTGAGGTGTGGAAGAAAACTAGTGGACTTTAGTCAACTGCTTAGCGGTGGCAATCGTTAGTTGTGCAATGCGCAACGGGATATGAGCGTGCCTACAGTTCCGGTAAAATAGGGAGGTTACTGTACGTGCACCCAGGACGGCTCACCCGAGGCACTAGCCTCTTGATGAAGTCGGTGGCAACGGTCTGTGACAACCCTGTATACCGTATGTGGAGTCAGAACCTGAACGTAGAAGGTTCCTGTGCAGGTTATAGTGCTATTCTCGTATACCCTAAGGGTTTGTAGGGAGGGTCACTATAATCAAAACTAATTGATGCTTTACTTTCTCAAACACGTATCTTATAAAGATAGATAGATAAAACGTTTATCTGGATCTACAGACACACATAAATAACAGAAAAATATGTAATACAATAAAAAGAAAGAAAAAAAAACCAGCAGAGTCGCAGCACTGCCAAACACTCAGTTATGTATGTGTGCTGTAGCAGTGCAAAAAGGCCATAGCTCAGCATCGGTGTTTACTCAGGAGCAAACCGCTGATTTTCAGCTATAACCTAAATAGAGGATGCCGCGGACACGATAACCAACCAGCGGACACCTATTTTCATGTTGTATAAATTAAACAAATAATAATTTCGAAACTAAATAAAATACGGAAGATAAAACAAACATACTAAATAATAAAAAAATTTTTTTAGTTTTAATTTAACTATATTAATAATATAACCAATTATAAATTACACAATGTTATGTAGGCAATTTTCGCTACCTAAGAAAAGCGCTGTGGAATACCCTTTTTTTGAGAGTCTAGAACAAGTGCATTTACCTTTTCCTTGAAAGTGCATTTAGATTTTGGAAGTTGTTAGATTTAGATTTTTAGAGGAGTGATTATTCAGGGGATGACAAAACTTTCTATTTGTTTCAAATTTCTTATCAAGGGTGTTAATTTCGATGCATTACTTTAAGAATTTATTACATTTCAGCATTGACTTACAAATAAATGGGCGACGGGTCTAATACAAAAACCACGAAAAAAATGTCCCAAGTCAACCTATTTAAACGTAGTGACATGTAAAGGAATATGAAAAAGCTAAAACGTTGAATTTAAATTGTAATGTCATCGCAGTACTGTCTAATTTTGCTTGCTTCGCTATCAGTCGAACAAACGAAGACTAGAGCGTGAATGACGCTCTGTATACGATTTTAACGCCCTATAAGTTCGGACACTTTTTAGCGCGGACCCGACGTCCATATAATTGAAGTCAATGCATTTCAGTTTCATTGTGCCTTAAGATACGAGTTTGAGAAGTGCGGCGACGTAATGTCGTAAGAAGCCGTCGGTACCTCTTGTCGTAGCCTCGGTCGGGGCGGTCGCCGTGGTCGGGCTCGCGGTTGTGCCGTCGGGCGCGCGCGCGCCGCTCCCACGAGCGCGAGCGGCGCCGGCGCCGGTCCTCCTTCTCGCGGACCTGCCGACGGACGATCTCATGTCATGTCTCCTCCTTTCCAAAGCTAACATTTTTGTCCACTCTTTTTGGTTCTATACTCACCGGATCTCCCCGTCTATCTCGTCTTCGCGGCGGCTGGTCCACCGGCTCCTCCAGCAGTTCAGTGAGTGGCAAAACCTGCAATGAATAAATCCGTCTTACGAATCGGTACTAAATTTTTTCCCGCACTAATACGGTTCATTTTGCTTTGGTCGAGCGGCTGGGCAATTTATGTTTTTATGTATACGTGTTCTATTTAGTTAAGTTGATGTCAAAAATTATTGGTATATGTAGTAAGTACCTATTGAATACAGCGGTTTTCTTGTAAAATTTCGAGGGAAGTTTGTGCTTTTTTTTCTATCGTGAAAATTTTTAAGAATCGTGTTTTCACACATCTTAATATATATATATATATATATATGCTTGTATACGGTGGATATATATATATATATCCACCGTATACAACCGTGTGTGTATATATATATATATATATATATATATATAATTTTACTATATATTTACACGCAAAATAGGCGCCTTGACGTCGAGTTGCGGACACCAGCCCTTTACACCAAGTACCAAGTAGTACTATATATTTTTTCCTAAGTGATCGATTCAACACTCTCACTGCTATGCGAAATCAACCAAAGTCATTTGAGGTTAAGAGTCTTAATCACTAAGGGTCGTATTCTAGAACTCTACTCAATGTTCAAGTCAGGATTGCAATTGAAACACAAGCACTGGAAATACGACCCT